ATCTCACAGGTGACAGATCTCACAGATAACAGATCTCACAGGTGACAGATCTCACAGGTGACACACGATTTATCTCGGAACGGGTCCAGGGAGGGGATCATATCTGCCTATATCATTAGGTTTGCCTATAGCCTTGACATAGAAGCCAATTTGGCGTAGTTGTTCGTGATCGAGTATCAGTCTGCCGTCGAAAATGAAGGCGGGTTTTCTCATCGTGTGATAGAACTTTTTGTAATCAAGTGTTTTGAACGCGTCCCATTCGGTGACGATGGCGATGCCATCGGCGTCTTGTACGGCCTCATCGGGTGTGGCGGTAAAGGTGAGTCTGGAGTGCCAGTATGTACCGTTATACCCTTGTTCCTTCATTTCCCTGATAGCGTTTTCTTTGGTGACCATGGGGTCATAAACATTGACTATAGCGCCCTCTTCCAGAAGCCCATGACAGACACAGGCGGCAGGTGTTTCTCGGACATCGCCAGTATCTTTCTTGAAGGCAAAACCGAAGACAGCAATTTTTTTACCGCGGACGGTAGTGAAGAGTAGAGAAACTATTTGGTCTTTGAAAAGGTTCTTGCCAAGCTCATTTATCTCCAACACACTCTCCCAGTAGTTGGCGACAGCCTGTAGACCTGTACACCTGCAGAGATACACCATGTTAGCAATATCCTTGCGGAAACATGAGCCTCCGAAGCCGACACTGGGTTGAAGGAACTTGGGTCCAATACGACTGTCTTTGCCAATGGCTCGCGCAATCTCGGTAATATCGGCGCCAGTTTTTTCACAGAGCATCGCGATCGAGTTAATGGAGCTAATACGTTGTGCCAAAAACGCATTAGCAACCAGCTTACTCAACTCCGAACTCCAGGTGTCCATTGTCAATATTTTGTCTGATGGAACCCAATGTCGATACAGCGTGGCCAATACGTCCACGGCCGCCCGACCCTGAACAGTGTCCATGTCGCCTCCGATCAAAACACGATCGGGAAATAGCAGATCTCGTAGTGCCGTCCCCTCTGCTAAAAACTCGGGGTTTGAGAGTACTTGGAACTCGACACCCACTCGAGAATTCGCACTCAGGACAAATCGCAACGCCGAAGCCGTCTTAACCGGAACCGTTGACTTCTCCACTACAATCTTGCTCGTGCTAGCATGCTCCGCAATCGTTCTACCAGCTGCCTCCCACGCACTTAAATCGGCCGCCTGTCCTGCACCAACACCATACTTTTTTGTCGGGGTGTTTACTGACACAAAGATCACATCTGCATCACCAATGTGACGACCACACTCCGTAGAAAATGACAAATTCCGTCCTCGTACCTCAGCCACTAACTCCTCCAAACCAGGCTCAAAAATCGGCAAAGGACCTTCATTAAATCCCCGAATCCGCTCTTCACTCAAATCCACCACCACCACCTCAACATGAGGACATTGCTTCGCCAAGATGCAACTTGTTGGAGCTCCCACATACCCCGCTCCAATACACACAATCTTTAACGGCCGGCCGTCCACCACCTGACCTGAAGCCTACAACACAATACACGACTGGTCATATCCCCCCCCCC